ATAAAATACCGTTAGCAATACAAAAGGTATATTAAACAAACAGACGCTAACAGTTACTATAGAATGAATGTTACTTGTTAACTGCCTCGTGAGGACAACGACCACAAACTGAGTTCACTTGATTGACAGGTGTTCCTCTGCAAGTGACTGCACCAATGACGTAATGAGGAAGACGGAGTCCAATAGTATTATACAATAGTAAACCGCGCCAAAAGTCCAACGTTGAGTCGGAAGGCCTATAATGATGTTATAATACTATTATAGTCTTCAATCAAAACGGTGGCCAATAAAACAGAAGAACAACGGCGTAGATAGTGTTCTATATTTTAAACAACCCGGTAGTAGAAGTGTATATCATTCATCGAAACAATTATCATCGTCTTTTTAACAAGTGATACAGCAAAACAACAGATATTGAATAAAATTGTGGTTACAAATAAAGTGTGACAAATTACAAAGAAAAAATGGTTTCTATTTTTGTTGTTACAAAAATCACTGAATATATGACACCATAAGCCTGATGATGAAGTTATTGAAAACAATTGTTCGCTCAAATATTCTTCACTTATTTATTCGTTAGTAAGTTAGTTAGTTAGTGAACTGTTTCCACCACCCAAGAACAAATCAAACCTGCAACCATCAAGTCACATAAAGACCATGATCAATTTAAATAGTCAGATCGGAGTGCTGCAATTTTGTGCTCTCGAATTACTTCAATTCGGTACATAGTTCATTCACGATACATTGTCATCAGGACATATTTTTCTCACTCGTAACACCACTTCCATTCACCAATCACAATTCCCTACATGAACTTCAGAAATCCATATGAAAGTAATTTAATGTTAAGCACCTGATAAACACCAAAGTAATGTACAAGGTTATGGTGTGAGAATTATCTAGAACTTCATATTTTCTACAACTAATTGTCAGTTAATGTCAGTCAGTAAAGAAAAAATGTCTGTGTGCTCTATCCATGGAAACAAAGTGCAATCTAAAGGCATATTTTTCAAAAATGGTCGGTTTCATACTAATTAGACATAAATGACACATAATTAGCTCTTTTCAAGTTTTCTCAATCTATAGTTTAATTACTGTCTGGTGTGATTTGCATAGCAAACATTATTGCTTCATAAAAAACTTAACACAATTTGTTTTATGTCTAAAATATTCACTAAATTTAACCGATATATTAAGGTAGAACGTTTGCCGTATGCAAAACTGATTGACTTAAAATTATTTATTCTACAATTAACACAACAAAGTTAGATATTCAGTTAAATTTCAAAGTAAACTCTAAACACCGATTTGATCACCAATAAATTGAGTGACTGAACTGACTGGTTTCATTATGATGAACAGATCAAAAAGGAACAATACGATGATTTCACCGTAAGCGGTAATTTATTCAAGTCATTCAAAAATTCTTTTGTTCTTTACTTATTTCTTATTCTTCACCTCTTAAGGTTTATATTCTTGACTATCTGTCTATCTACACAATTTTCATTGATTACGTAATCTCATCAATACTACTACTACTACTACTACTACTAATGAGTGTACTAGTGGGGATACCTGAATGTATTTGAATACAAAATTACAGATCGTCATAATAAAATCTGAGAATCATACAGTAAATACTTCATTTGCAAAATGTTCATTTTTCGTCTCAGACATTACTGTTCCAGTATTTCTATACCAATTGGTTTCTGTTCCCGTTCTTTCCTTCATCATAGATTTGAGCAACAAATATAAGTGAACAATGTTGCTTTCAACTTGATACCCATTAGAACTTTGTCTAATATGCATGGATATTGATACTGATTTGTGAAGAAATGGAATTATTCAAGACAATTTACAAGTGAACGACCTCAGTGAAACAGATTACATAACTACATATGATAAGCAAGAAGAACAAATTGATAGTAGAAAAAAGGTGTAATAATAGTAGTAGTGGTTTGTGTGTGCTACTTGTGTCGACAAAAGTAGTATAAAAATTCAGACAGGTGGTGGAGGAGAGCGAGAAGGGAAGAAAGGGAACACTAATATCTGTGACAAAAAATGAACATTTTGCAAATGAAGTATTTACTGTATGATTCTCAGATTTTATTATGACGATCTGTAATTTTGTATTCAAATACATTCAGGTATCCCCACTAGTACACTCATTAGTAGTAGTAGTAGTAGTAGTAGTATTGATGAGATTACGTAATCAATGAAAATTGTGTAGATAGACAGATAGTCAAGAATATAAACCTTAAGAGGTGAAGAATAAGAAATAAGTAAAGAACAAAAGAATTTTTGAATGACTTGAATAAATTACCGCTTACGGTGAAATCATCGTATTGTTCCTTTTTGATCTGTTCATCATAATGAAACCAGTCAGTTCAGTCACTCAATTTATTGGTGATCAAATCGGTGTTTAGAGTTTACTTTGAAATTTAACTGAATATCTAACTTTGTTGTGTTAATTGTAGAATAAATAATTTTAAGTCAATCAGTTTTGCATACGGCAAACGTTCTACCTTAATATATCGGTTAAATTTAGTGAATATTTTAGACATAAAACAAATTGTGTTAAGTTTTTATGAAGCAATAATGTTTGCTATGCAAATCACACCAGACAGTAATTAAACTATAGATTGAGAAAACTTGAAAAGAGCTAATTATGTGTCATTTATGTCTAATTAGTATGAAACCGACCATTTTTGAAAAATATGCCTTTAGATTGCACTTTGTTTCCATGGATAGAGCACACAGACATTTTTTCTTTACTGACTGACATTAACTGACAATTAGTTGTAGAAAATATGAAGTTCTAGATAATTCTCACACCATAACCTTGTACATTACTTTGGTGTTTATCAGGTGCTTAACATTAAATTACTTTCATATGGATTTCTGAAGTTCATGTAGGGAATTGTGATTGGTGAATGGAAGTGGTGTTACGAGTGAGAAAAATATGTCCTGATGACAATGTATCGTGAATGAACTATGTACCGAATTGAAGTAATTCGAGAGCACAAAATTGCAGCACTCCGATCTGACTATTTAAATTGATCATGGTCTTTATGTGACTTGATGGTTGCAGGTTTGATTTGTTCTTGGGTGGTGGAAACAGTTCACTAACTAACTAACTTACTAACGAATAAATAAGTGAAGAATATTTGAGCGAACAATTGTTTTCAATAACTTCATCATCAGGCTCTACAGTTATAAGTCCATAATTATAATATTTTACAAAGGCCAAAAATAAAGCATGTATTAATTAATTTAACAATGTTATGTGTTGACAATTGTTCGCTCATTATTGAATATTCTATGGGGATTTTTAAAATGCTGAATAAATAAGTCATTAGTCTTTACTCCTCTCACTGTTATCTAGAGAATCGCTTTCACATTAAATAGGACTGACCACACGATTTCTTTCTGCACATCCACCTATACAATGACAGACCATCATATGATAATAGACACGACACGTTTCCATCAGGTTCACCGGATTCAACATCTACAACATCTGAACACTGAACCAAAGTCATGCACAACCAATACGAAGAAACACGTTGCACATTGCTGTTGTTTGAACTACATAGACTGAAGCAATATTAGCTCAATCGGTCAATAATCAACGCATACTGTGACCGACAATACATGGGAATCACTATCGATCTTATCTATCTCAACAGCTAACTATGTGATTTTCTCTAGTATTTATTATTTTATACAATTCAACCGAACAACACAGTACCCACTGAATGGAGATTATAAGCATTCATCACAAACTACTCATCTCATTGAATATTTATGAAGCATTCAGTAACCGTATTCTATTCATATGAATAGCTGACTGAAATTTATGAGAGAATTCATGGTTACAATAGCGAGCTGATCACTTGCCTGATCGTGGTGATTATTTGCACAATTGTTTTGCTCAGACGAACAATAGAGATATTCCGATTAAACTAATACTAGATTCCCATCAAAAATAACCAATCTCTCACACAATAAACCAAGTCACATAAGGAATATGTTATCGGTCTGATGCCTAGTACTTGTATTATGACACTTGACAATATTAGGCCAATACGAAACGAACTGAAGCAATAAGTGTTAATCCACATTCATTGACCAACCACAGCTTCATATGACCAGACATATATCTCCTAACACATGAGTTCAATCTGAAACTTAAATGGTCTATAGCTTAAATGGTCTAAAATCAAATGAACTGGCCAAGAATATCGAGTTGCTTAGCCTATAAACAATCCAGTCAACAAGATTTCATCTGTACTAATGACTTAATAACAGGATATTGATCAGTTTTGGACTATCAGTTTATACATAATCCATATACATAACTCTATTACAGTTCTAGTTTATATTGTTGTTGCTGTTGTTAATCTGATCAATCCATGGATGAATCCACATCGTTTAAATCATTTTGAAATTCAACGAGCTAACCTGTGAGTTTTAGGGAAATATTTATTCATTGGAATAGGTAAAGATCAAGTGATCATGGAAACGATGAATTGTATATCAGTGAACAGATTCTCAACTATAATCTCAGTAATGATGATTCCTCAACAACAACAACAACAACAAACATTTCATCAATAAAATGAAAATCTCTTCAAACAGTCTCAACTTTAATTATATTTTGCTAATCTAACGATCAGTTTGTGATGAATCCATGTTATATTATTCAATAATTTAATTAGAATGACCTTATTTCATTGACGAGAAGAAGAAAAGAAGAAGAAGAAGAGCGTTTAAACAATCTAGTATGATAATAATAAGAAGAATGATATTGGTCCAATATTATCATGCTATCAAGCTTATGATTGGACAGTTCCACTCGTATAGTTTGTTCAAACTAATACACGTGATAACCTACACATTATATGCATATATATAGAGAGAGACATTTATGCATAGAGATGTATGAGACGGTCTCATTGAAGTAACTAAATAACAACTAACCAACCAACCAATCAACGATGAACAGTTTAGAATCTTATTGTTTATCATTTAAAACTGGTGCAATTGTAGAGAATCCAATGGTTTGATTATCATATTGAACTATTAAGGTGTTTTTCTTTCAAATAATACTAGAAAACTCTTCCATCGAAATGGAAAGCATGGAACACATTAATTGATCGATTGCCGGAACTATCGAGAAATCGCAGTTTGAGAAAAGAAGTAGAATCAGTAAGTAATTGATGATATTGTTTAGTTGTTTTGTTTTCCTCAAATTATTTTATTGCAAACATAGATTTAATACTGAAGTATTACGCATATTTGAGTTGTTTTAACTGAGAGAGCGTTGTTGGGCCCTTTATTTTGACGTCAATTACATCGGACTATGTTGTCGACGGGCTCACCACTTTAATAACCCGATATCTGTTTTGTAAATTACTTCACTATAAACATAGATTTTGTACTATAATATTACGCATATCAGAGGTGTTTTATTTGAGTGCACGAAATTATTACGTAAAGTTTACAAGGCAATTAAATCTGGAAACATATACAATAGTCTATAGTAATCTAACTCACTTGATTAATATATGTGTTTCTGATATACATAATATTTCAAAATAGAAGAATTCCTGTATGGACACTGAAGTGATGTGTCCTGACCGACTCGATCGCGTGTCAAATATCATGGAACCCAAGTCACAGGTTTCCTGTCGACCACCTCGAATCGCCATCTCTAGTGAGATATTATTGATAATGTACTGGAAAACCGTTTGATTATGTCAATTCAAAAGAACTTGACCTTAATAATTATTCGTTTCCAACATTTCCAATATCGCCCTTCCCCTACCAGTCATTCATTAAAAATTATGTATTCGATTCCACCAAGCATATAGTTATTCGAACACCTTTATTGTGTATATGTTTATTGGAAAAGAATTCCCTATCTTAACCAGTCACTCTATAACTGAGTAGATATTTCAAGTCGGTTTCAATATTGCAAAACTGATATATATATATTTGTAAATGAGTGTGAGTTGTCATAAGCAAAGATGGATAGTGGCAAGCAGTGGAATCCACGATGCGCAATTCTTCTCATTTGGGACTCGTCAAATGGATATGACAACAATGGTGAGATACACGAAACAACATTGAATGAATTTAAACTTCACCCCATTGCACAAGCACATGGCTACCAGGAATCAGTAGCTAATTGGGTAACACGATGTCGTTTGAAGTGATCAGTTCTGGGTCCGAGTCGCAGAGTGAACATCTACTGTGGGATGCAGATTCTTACAGCTGACCAGTCCTAAATAGGACGAAACTCGCGTCCTACATTCCACTGCTAGCCACTATCCATATTTGCTGATAAAGCTTGTGACGTGATGCGATGTTCAGACAATCCACACACGATTCACATATGTCAACAAGAGATGGATCAATTGCAGACATAAACAATAGTGGGAAGATACGAACAAACAACACCAAGTGAAAGTGAATTATGTTCAACTGTAAAATTCTGTAATCAGTCATCAATGTTTCTAAGAACACAATCTTAGTTGATTACCGGAAAGTGTTTTGGAGCATTATTAGTCTGGTCGAAATCTATATTGGGTACAAGTTTCTTCTTGATCTGTTAAGAATGCATAATAATTGGGTTATAACAATTATAAAGGTCGAGAATTGTATCATTCGTGCTTAGGGAAACAATCAGAGAATATGGATTCACCTAATTTCAAGTTTAATATCATGTGTATTTATATTACTCCTAAAATATTTTATCGGAACTACAAGACTCATTCATTTCAAGTATCATCAAATGTCCTCTACTTAATAATATTCATTTATACTTTTATTGGTGCATTTCTGAAATAACATGTTCGTATAAGCACTTTCAAACTTATTCCTTCAAGTAGAATGCTGATCCTGTGTTCATATATGGAGAAAATGTGGTGATTCAATTCACTTCTCATTTTAAGTTTATTGTCGACCTCCGGTCTACCCACTGAGTTTATATATAGATAATTCCTATTATATGAAAACTGTGAGAAAATGTCGTTGAAATATACAGAGTAGAGATTTCAGACATTCTGATACATGCTTTCACTCTTGAACATTCAATGCGGTCGATTAATCTGCTCATTGCTGCACTATCGCTTCAATGAAATACAATTGAAAAAGATAATCAGATTACAGATTAATAGTAATAAATGATTAGTAAAATTACTTGTACGTTCTTGTAACCCAAATAGTCAACTTTTCTCCTAGTTACCACTTTTAGATTTGGATGGTCTCGATAATCATAAGGAATTGAGATTGGCACATAAAATTCTTGCTTTCATAACTTCTGTTTATGTATGGCAAGATGGCGAAGGTGGTGAAACAGAGGTAGGTGAATTATTCGAAAATGATATGTGTGTGTTGTAGAGTGTTGAATAATTATTGAGTTACATCACGCTTCATTATACTTCTATATCTTGGAAGTGATTTTAGCAAAAGCGTAATACACTCATCAGCTATTGTTTTCAATAACTTTATCATCAGTCTCTACAGTTATAAGTCCATCACTATTGTGATATTTTTGCATAGGCCCAATTTTCAGTCATGTATTAATGACTTTGACAATGTAATATGTTAAAAATGGTGAAGGTTTGCATCTGTTGTGGTATAACTGCTTCAAGATAGTGTCATTTGTATTGTAGATAGGTGATCTAATAAAGGTCAGAATGATTTGGTGTAAAGTGTCCAGTCACAATCAGCATAATAGTAATGTAGTACAAATGAAAATGGGAAAATCATGTGAATAAAATGCATAGTAGGCGAATTTCATCTTGTCAATTGAGATAATAATGATGATAGTTATAATATCTTTGTGTAAATAATGATATGTCATAGGAGGAGTGTTATCAAGGTAATTGCGAAAGAAAAGTGTTCCCATGAATTGGGAAAGATAGAAGATTAAGATAGATGTAATCATAAAATATGAGGGTGAATGGATTAAACAGGTTTATAATATTCAGCTTAGGTATCCGTAATCCAGTTTTAGACCAAGGTAAACATAGAGACTGGATATACCTTTTCTGCATACATAAGTTCGGTTTTCTGGAGTTGATCCAGATGGCCTCGGCCATGTTGGGTAGCCGTAATCTAGCTCCTTGAGGTAGATATCTTAGAACTAAGGATAAAACAGAGGAAGCTTCCTCTATTTTAACATGATGTTCTCCATCTACCAAGTGATAAACAATAATACTGTTGATCGATTTATTAACTTCTCTTCCCAACTATGTTGGTACATGTTGAGGAACATGCAATGATAAAGCCGTTTGATTACGGTCTACGTTCCCAGCTGCACAGGAGCAGTTGGATTGGTATGCACACATGGAGGAGCCCATCATCGGCTAACTATCTTTGATTTGTTGTGTAATTACTGGTTTAGTTTAGAAAATCATATGTACCTTGGTGTCGTGCAAGGTCCTTTCAACAGATCTTTTGAGTCGACGTGTTAAAATATCACCCGCTATGTTCCCTTTAAAATCCAGTCTCAGATATAGGGATTTTGCTGATTGAGTTTCAATTTCTTCCTATTGTATTGGCTTCCACTAGGAATTTTCTGACGAGCTTATCTGGATAGCCATATTTCACAATGTGTTCTTTATGGCACGGTCTATCCTTCTAGAAAGAAGGACATCTAGGAAATCTACACTATTGTCTTTCTCTTCTTCGCTGGTGAATTTGATAGCTCAGTGGACGTTATTGGAAAAGTCTTACATCACCTGTTCATCGATATTTTCATCGTATACGATTAGTGTGTCATGTATGTATCGATAGTAATAATCTAGCTTATTTAGGATGTCATTCAACGGTCGACTTTCTAGTTTGGGCAGCAAAAGTAATAGCAAGTATTGAGTCTAGTGGTGATCCTATTGCTATTTCATCTACTTGTCTGTAAAATTCATTGTTAATCATAAAGTAGATATTCATGGTACATTTGAACAAAATTTCCTTCATTTTACTTATTGGGATCTGTATCTCTATGTTCTTTATATAGTAATTGTTCATATATGTAGTCGATATTTTCAGTCAAGGGGGATGTTAGTGAACGAAGATGCTATTATCTGGTGATAACATGGTTTCGCCATTCTATTCATATTTCTTATTATATCCATTGATATTATTATATTTATGGACTTGTAGAGCCTGGTAATGAAGTTATTCAAGAAAATAGTTGACTCAAATATTCTTCATTTAAATAGTTAGTAACAATTACTTATAAGATGTGGAATAACTTTAAAAATTGAGTGTTTATCAGAGATAATAAACCAATACTGTTTTTGTGTAAAACCCTATTGTCTGATGTACAGAGATATTGTGGTCATTAACAGTGTCATTGTTTATGTATCTTAATTAGGCTGATAGTGAAATCATTGTTTTTGTAGTGTTCTGATCAAAAGAAAAAGTAGTTAGCAGAGAAATCAACTGTCGTATGAATGCGAAAACAATAACGTTTACGAGTACTTTATTAGTCTGTTAAATGAAGCATTAGTTGGATGAATGCAAAATGTTCTGGCATCACAAATGACCCATATTATATAGAGTTTTTTTTGTTGTTGACAAAATAAAGCAGAATTGTGACTTGCCTTGAAATCTAGTGTGAGAGAATCGCCTTGTTCAGAATTGGTTAGCTAGATGTAGTTGTTGATGACCAAATTAAAATTCGAATGTACCACTTACAATGTCAAACTGCAACCTACTTAGCTACAGAATCCAAACAACTATTGACTTTCCAATCAATATGAAGTTGTTTTAGAATGGTGTGTATTTCTCTGTTGTTGATAATAAGGACAGTAACTGTTGAATCTCTGTGGAGTGAACGTACATGGTGAACGGTTTGACAATATGTAACTGTTCAATCAAATGTCTTATTATAGATATGTTAGAGTAATCATTGAAATTAAGATTTTAAAACGCAAATCTCTGCATAGATTTATGGACTTATTCATAACCAAGTATTTCATTAAATGTTCCACGTAGATATTCATCTCCATACTTGTTCTTGCTCTAAATATGATTTCAGTCATTACCAGTACAAATCGCTAAACCACTATTACAAGTTTCTGATAGACTTGGTATACAGCCCATACTGACCAATGAAGATCTAGTCATATCCAATTGTATTCCTTCAACTTTGCCAACAGAAGAACAAAGTTTGAGGTATTCATTTATTTGATCACATTAATATGGTATATTGTGATATATTCAGTTAGTACTACACTGGTATCTCAATCAGGTTTTAGTCAATAATTCATTTAAATTGATTAGGTTTTTGGTTACGGTCATAGATCATTCGGTTTTAGACCCGATTGAAAGCCTGAAAGCAGTGGATGTTTGTCTTGTCCAATTATGAGACTCTTGAAAAGTGCACATCACGATGCGGCACCAGACGGACTTGAACCGATTACGAATGAAAATAGAATACAAGAAAATTGGATTTGATCGAAAATCGCTTTTTTTGGTTGATTGACAACAGTAGATTATTTGCATACATCACTTCACCTATTAAGAGTTACAGCTGTATTTTTGAAGAAAATACATTAAGTTGTGACACGTGTTCGGTCACTCACTGTAGCGTCGCTCTTGTACTGATAAATAAAATTCCAGAGATGTAATTTAGTAATGTCAAGTTTCGCCAACATTTCGCTATCGAAACAACACTTATCATGTCCACCCTAATTGCATGTTTTTCTCCAGTTTTTTACAATCTATACACAAGCCCACATATCATGGAAGTTGGGAAGCGTTTATAACTCTGAGTGCCGAATGTGAACTATTCTTTGCACCTATATTACTGGTAAGAAGAATAGTTGTATATTTGTTTTGATAAACTAATAGAATTTCTAATTAAATATATCAGAAGAAGAGTTCTCTTCTATCACGTTGTATGGGTGAGACGGATGTATCAAAAGTGAAATATATATGTAAGGCTGTGACTGTATTTCCCCGTCGTTGGTCAAGTATTGATTGGGAATACAAATTCACGAAATTCATAAGCATATGTTTCGCAAAATAATGTCTAGATTTTCTTTAATTGTTAGTTTAGGATTTTATAAGTGAATTTCAATACGTCTATTCCTATCTACATCTTACGTTCAAGGCATTTGACGTTTTAATATCTGTTGGATTATTGAGGCTTCAAACAATTAGCAGTATTGTAATGGATGCTACGCACAAGAATGTTCGTAAGCTGTATGTCGTGACAGTCGTCACAAAGAGTGAATTGTTATTGTAAAACGAAAGCACACAGTAGACTGACCATTTGATGACCACATGAGAAGACAAGTTGAATGGTAGAACACACTGGGTTATGCAAACACATGATCGGAGACTGGGTATACGTATGATGTAAAGCCTTTGCAATTTCGCTTAACAAACAGTTCATTCGTTAGCTCACTGTCTTCTTCTACACTACGATTAGATGTTAAATAATCAACTCAGTTAGTCAAAATGTACATACATAGATCTGTGCAGCATGCTGTTCTGTGGAGATCAGTTCAATTCGGAAACTCTAACAACTGTTGGTTGTGTGTTGAAATTGAAATCTGAGGAAGATACTCCAACTAAACTGAATTTACCGTGGAGTATTCTTTACTTGTTGATGGTCTTGCAGATGGTCTATGTTTGTATCGAAATGCATATTAAATCATTTTTTCATCATTAGGTGTTAGTATCATACTCAATACATTTCACGTTTCTTGTAGAACTTAAAATATATATGTCTCACTAGTCTGTAATGCAGATTGAATCTTATCGAACGATCTACAATGCAGACAGTAATTTGAGGGATTAATTACTTACAGACAGTTGAAAGAAAACTCTCTATTTATTTTACGACAGCTTGAACTTATCACCAAGGCATATTGTTATTCTTGAATGAACAGTCATCCACTGGCGAAAACAGCAACATATTTAATTTCGAAGTTATTTCTTATCAATGCAATTCATGCTACTCATAACATTAATGTCACCATGAGAATGATGATAGATGAATGCTATCTTGCTCGTGATTAATCACCATATGATTTAGATCTTTTGAATTATAAGAACACGGATGAAATGGTAGATGTGATTTAGGTGCTTTTTGAGTCGTTCTGATTACCAAAGTTCATGTAAGAGTTCACATCTACTTTTACATTCCTTAAATAGAAATTCACGCACACACGCACAGTTTGTTAGCAGTAATTAGAGAATGGTGTGTTTCTTGTCAGTATAATTAAACAATTCCATATCACACCATAAATCTTAATAAAGTAGTCAGTCATGAACGTTTGAGTGATCCAACAACCTTTCAATTTATTGACCACCAATTAAGTCAGCTAGCAATAAGGTGTTCCACTTGAGTTAATTTTGGTCCAAATTTCACATTTTCAATTTTCACTGGATAGAACAGATCAATTCTGTGGTAACAGTTTATAGGTCATCCCTAATATCGAATGTTTTCGTATGATTTACCAAATACTTATCTATATGACCATCCTATTTAGGTTATCACTTGATTAGATTCTACTCGAATTACAGATTTATAAACGATATGCCATTGAAACAGTGTCGACTCATTTGTCGAGCGATGACAAAATCTTATTTACTTCATGGATAACATGAATGCATTGTGTTGAGTAGTGAACAATGTGATCATGTTTTATGTAAACCGACATTTCATCCATCTGATCTATAAATAACTGGTGGTGAGAGTTGAATTTTAGTGAATACTCAGAATAGTTAGAAAGTAAGAAAATGGAACTAGAATGTTATTTGTAGAGAACAGATATTTTTCTGTGCACTTCCATTTACCCAGAGGTGATTAGTTTGATACCTTCACTCTATAATACGAAATTGTGTGTAGTAATACATGGTTTGTGCGGTTTATTAGATTTTCGTTGTTCCCAATCCATACACCATTCAAGGATTTATCAATGTTGATAGTCATTCTAATCTTTTGATAGAATTTGTAATCGTTTGTAGGAAATTATGAATGCCATTAAAGCTCAAGATCCATTGAATGAGGATGCTATCACAGAATGCTTAGAAAATATAGTTAAAGCGTTTGTACAATTTAGAAATGCATTAAAGAATTTCTATGGTAAGTTGAATACTTTGAACTGTTTCAAAATTTGGTTGGATGGTTTATGGATAAAATGAGTGAGTGAGATTATAATATATGGACAATATTTGAGAGATGTCAAAGAGACCTTGAGAATGTCCGCTTACTAACAAGAGTTGAATGAGGATGATAAAATAGTGTGAGGAATTAGGACTATGATGTATAGTTTGATGTTAGGGTTGTGAATCAGATTTAGATATTTCATCACAAGCTGGCAGCAACTATAATGAGAACTTTGTTCGAATCATACTTTGTTAGGTATCTTTTGTGTTGTTTCGTGTCCATTTCTGACAACCTTAAACAAACTTCCTATTCATGTGATCGACCGACTACACGAGTGTGGAGGAAGCTTTTATTAGCTGAGTGAATTGGAAATGTGTGAACACTCATTGACCAGTGGTATATATCTCATTGATTAGAAATACAAGTCATTTCTTGATCAATCATGTGCATTTATCTTTTGCCCTGTATCCAAATTAATCAACATATCAGTATCACCATTAATTCAGTTTAGTTTTTTCATTGTACCAATCAATCAATCAATCAATCAATTCAACATGTTATTTATTACATGGAGCTACTTTTGTGCAACTGTTGACTTACATTTCTTGAACTTGAACTTAATAGGTAAATTAAATTCAGAAGAATTCTATGTCGATTTAAGACCCATTTTGTGTGGGTAAGTGAATGTCATTCATTTGTGTGTCAATGGAAAATCAACTTTTAATGAATGTCACAATAACTAATAATGCATATGATCAGAATTGTTAGACAGATAGCATATTACTTAATTAAATCACCTTAGAATATGTAGTTCCTTGTGAATTATCTCCCTGTAAGCTCAAATGAACATTTCACACTATGGAATACAATGTTTGATATAAAGGTTATATATCATTCGGCTAGAAACTAGCTGTTTTCATTCATGATTGGAAGGTTTATTTCATATAATTAAAATAGCTCATGGTGTCACTGAATACAAATAGAGAGAATTCAGTGAAGAAAACTTTCCTTTCGACGAAATCATTTACTTAATCTGAACATTCATGTTTATAGTTATATGGAAAATATATATCTATAGAAAGATAGGAAAGATTGCATCAGAAACTGATTCGAAACTCTTATTATCAAAGGAGGTTACTCAATAATCAAGGGGATCGAAGGGAATTTGAGTCAATATTTTATGTACTGCTGGGGCACTGTCGATCCACGAACTTAAGCCCGAATCCAGTTTCTATGATTATGACCTATATCTTTCTCGTTTTTCCTCAAATCTGTCAATTGGACAATTATTTGAACCGTAAATTATTTTCATCCTTATATTATATGCTATTACCCCTTGATTAGGGCATAACATCATTTGATTATAAGAGTCTCGAATCAATTCATGATGCATTCTCTTCCATCCTTCTATAAACACATATTTTCCATATAACTATAAATACGAATGTACAGCATAAGTAAATGTTTATTTTATAATTAAACAGTGATCAGCTTAATCTTTGATAGTGTAATTATATTTCAACCACCCTTAAAAATATTCTAATTAATATAATTTGGATAATTATCAGAAAGTGAGTTTTGTAGAGATGGTAGTAATTTAATAATTGAATTCATGATTCGATTCAAGCTAGACTACCACGGAAAACCTGGAAGCAGTGAACGGCCGTTATTTGCTGGAGTTCTAGTGAGAAGCCATGACTAGTGGTGTTCAACCGTGTTTCGTGTGAGGCAGTGACTCACTGAAGATAATGTTGCATGGTGGCACGACTTCGTGGATAGGTTCAAGTTAGACATTAACACCGTTGGATACTGGCCGACTTAGTGGTCCAGAGATTAAGTGTTCATGTGTGAGACTAAGACATACTAGGACAACACGTCCGTCCAGTGCTTCCACGTTTTCCTTGATGGTCTATCTTTAATCGACTCATGAATTCAACTATTATATTTCGATAATTTGTCACCTCGATGGAAATCATACAGATTTAGCAAAGAATCAAGAATCCATTTATATTTGTGCCAAATCGCATGACAAATTATTTGATAGTCGTTAGTTCATTTCATAATAATAATTATATGTATGCTTACTTTGAAATGGGAATCCTTTTATATTCAATTCTCATGCAATTATATTGTAGAAACAACTGCAAAATTTGTTCACTAATTGTTTTCGTAGTCTTATATGTACGTAGTTATTCAGCTAACGTGTTTGTTCACATTAAAAGTGAAACTTGAAAAGACAGAAACCATATTATAATGTGCCAAGTTCAATTAGGTTCTTCTATTGAACGACCTATTTAGGAACAGCATATAACTCAACCATCCATACTTTCCAGAGATCATATTCTATGAAGTCTAGTTATTATTAGTATGACTATTGATATGACGTGAGTTCATACAATTGATTTGAATGCTGTTCCTACATCATTGAAGTAGTCTAGTACTTTGCTGAAAACCATCTAAGATATTAGTGAAATGCTTTACTAAGATTTTCATCAAAATGTGATGTCTGTATATTTAGAGCTTTCATTGTCATTTGTATGTTCTGAAATGAATAGTTTATTCAATGAACTGATGCTGTGTTTTCGTATTTTACAGATGGTCTCATGGAAAACTTAAAGACAAGGGTCTAACTTACGAGACAAACTCACAACACATAAACAATAATAATAATAATAATAATGAGAATGAGAATAAGAAAGCCATATCAAGTTGTCCATTTTCTGGTCAACAATATACTAGCAACACGGATCGACGGAAATGTATCGGAGCAAGTGCAGCACAGTCAATAACGATTCAGACGTGCGATGCATTTTTCCAGATAAAACATGATCCTGGTAAGTAATCCATTCTACATTGAAACTGTGTTCGATTTCTAACTTCATTATTTCATTGTACATTCTACACGACTGCTATCTGTATGGTGGAATTCAGTGGGAGTCCTTTTATCTTGACGTTACTTGATGGTATAATTAAATAAGCATCGACAAATTAACGAAAAGTGATACACGCTTCAAAATTTCCGTCCAAATGTTTAATAGTATAATAATTGCATACCTATGCCTATTAACTTTCGTGAAGGAGCCTATGTTGCCCACCAGCATTCTCCATCCACATCTGTTCTGGTCAGTCCTCTCCAGTTGTTTCCAGTTTCTATTCATCCCATTCATGTCTGCTTCCGATTCTTGGTACAGCATATTCTTTGGTCTTCCTCTTTGCCGTTTCCCTTAAGAATTCCATGATAGCTCTTGCCTCGTGATGCAGTTTCATGATTTCCGTATTGTGTGTGCTACCCACCTCCAGCGTCTCTTCTCAATTTCCTCATTACCTGGAAACCAGTATGTTCTCACCCACAGTAAACTGTTTCTGATAGTTTATAGTCAACGGACACTGAGAATCTTGTGTAAACAATCGTTTAGAAATGCTTGTACTTCTGTGATGATGGTTGCAGTAGTTATCCAAGTTTCAGCTCCATACAGTAGAACTATGTTGATGTTGGTATTGAAGATTCTGACTTTGATATTGGTTGATAGTTGTTTCAAGTTCCATTCGTTGTTCAAGTGTAGGAATGCTGTGCTTGCATTGCCAGTCTTTCGCTTCACACCAACATGAGATCCTCCTTGCTAATCGATGTTGCTGTACAGGTACATGAAGGATGCTACATCATCCAGAGTTAGCCCATCTAGCGTAAATGGGCTGGTGTTCTCCTCGTCGTATTTGAGGATCATGCTTTTTCCATGAAGTATGTTGAGTTCTGCAGATGTAGAGGCTGCTTCTGTTAAACTGTTTGTGTTGACCTGGATTTGTTGATGTGTAAGGGATAGAAGGATCAGGTCATCTGCAAAGTCCAAATCGTCTAGTTGCAAGCTGTCCATTGTACTCCGTGTATTCCTTCTCATATGAGGGTCTTCATCACACAGTCAACCACCAGAAGAATGATAAAACGTGAGAGTATTCACCTTTGTCTGACTCTGATCTTCATTTGGAATGCATCTATTTTCCATACTCCACTTAGCAGATTGGTCTGTTGTATGTATTCTGGATGATGTTAATTATACTCTCACTACTCTATAGTATCGAACAATGTTCCATGTGGCTCTCCTTTCTACGCTGTAAAACAAATTATCATAGTCAATGAAGTTGTTATATAGTGGACAAGTTTTTATAACAAGATTGTTTTCTACGGGACAGGGATTCTGACCCCATGCCAAACCCTCCTCACTTAACCTGTCTTGAGACCGACAATAACCCTGGAAATGCTACAGGAGGTGTTTTACAGTTCAGTAAAGCGGAGATAATGAAAAACTGAATACACGACTATGAGAAAAATGTTCCCTATGAATATACACTCTCTACTGTAATCACGAGGTTAATTGGTGTAGACACCTATCCTACACCATCCAATCATGATCATCATTTGCCATAAATCAAACACCTCTCTGTTCATATTGATTTTGTTTTTCAAGAGGATGAAAAATTCTTCCGTAACATGCAGACATATATGATAAAAGAACATCGACAGTTTCTTCAAGATCTAGCAATGCATAGTCGAATCCGTTGTATAGGTAAGTTCCAGAGATTAATTAATGGAAATGCCACTATATGATTGAATTTAACTTATAGTTGAATATAAATAGATTTCATAATTAATGCCTTTTGTTTGTCTGATTATGGGTTTCAAACGAAATGGATACTATGTCACAACTAATCTTATATTCAGTTTCATTGCTTAACCACATCTCTTAATCATTGAGCTTCAACGCCTAGTTCAAACTTATATGCTATATTTTACGTGGTTCTATTTATCATAATCCTGTTAGAAAAACCTGGTGTTTGGTAATTTCTTATTTTATTTTTATTGAATTTGTGAATTTTGACAAATGTATGGAGGTGGTTAGATAATCAGAACATTGATTATCATACCGGTCATCATAATTTTGATTACGTAGATGTGTGTCAATGCTTTTTTTAAAACAAGGACATAGAGTCTATTCAATGACAATAAATTGATGTAAACGTATTTTCATCTGAAACCGTCGTCAGTTCAATTACTACTGAGTATCAACCATACACCACTAAATAGAAGTTTATTAGTTAAAAAAAGATCCTTTATTCGAAGGAAATTCTAGAGGTCAAGCGTTTGCACGCGAGATCCGAGACCCTGGTTTCGAATTCCGCTAGTGTGATCGTGGATGCACACTGCTGAGTAGTCGCATAATAGGGCGAAACGGCCGTTCAGTGCTTCCAGGTTTTCACTGGTGGTCCAACATCAAGCGGTTCATGACCTAAATCAAAAATTTATTTAAATGGAATGTATTTTTGATAATTGGTTTTTGATTATATTCGGTGTGTTTAAATATACTACTGAAATTTATGAATATTTGAAGTGAGTTAAGTAGATGATAGTGATCAATTAATGTGGTTTGTGTATGTTGAACACTGAATAAAGTTCATAAGAAGCAGTAACTAAGTGTTTTTGCTATGAGATTTGAATGTATTGATACAAGTCAAGATTCCAACATCTGGTAGGACGTTGGTTGACCAAGAAGAAGTAACTTTCCTGTATAGACTGGTTGTTTTTTTCTCTTGAATCAACTCTGTTTATATCGTTAGCACAACAGGTTTTCGTTACATGATTATGAACTCAATCACATAACATCATGATACCAACATTTCAATTTGTTCTTTATACTTCATCGAATCACCCACTATTGAAATTTTACTTAATATTTAGTTGCTGAAAGCAAATCTTTTCGTATGAGAACAGCCTATAATCAATGTCTTCAATCATTGTGGAATTTCCGAAATGCTCACATATCATTAGTTAAAAGGTAACTATGGAATAAATGTTAGTTTATTGGAAAATGAATAATCACTTTACATTAGATTCATTATACAACCATCACAAAGTGCAGATGCTAGAATAAAACAACTTGATATTAAAGGAACAGGTGGTCAATGTAAGTCCTTTCTCATCAATCAATTTCTATTTTGATTGAGATCATGAATGGATGAATGTTAGACCAAAATGGTAAAATTGGAATCACTGGACGACTGTTTCGTCCTAGTATTTGATCTCTGAGAAGTGCGCATCCACGACCATTTTTGCGGCGTTCGAATACATTACATTCGGTCTCGCATTTGGGATCGCAGGTGCGCACTGCTCAAGAGTAACATATCAGGACGAAACTGCCATCCAGTGCTTCCAGGATTTCAATGATGGTCTAACATTCATCCATTCATGATCTCAATCAAAACTCAACAATCTCCACAACCCATCACTGACAGTTTCTATTTATATATGATTTTAGGTTTAAATGTCTTTCTTCAACGTGTACGAGATGCAACAATTTCTGCATCTTTGAATTAATTAACCTGCTTTGAAATTATATCAGTTTATACAAGAATGTAATTTTTTCTGTTTTATTAACATATTAATGAAAATATACTTGATATTTTCATAGTTTTCTTCTTCTTCTTTATTAACATTTGAAATGAACGGTCGATATATTGAGATTTGGACAGTACTGTAGTTTCTAGTATTAACTTAAGTGGTAATCTCAATGCTTGCTATCAGTAGTTGGTCATTTCCCAATGTCTGACGTCTAGATGTCGCACTTTTGTCTATTTTCACGTAATAGAACATATAATCATGTGTTATTTGATTTTATAAGTAGTGTTCACACATGGAAGATGATCGCTTGTGTGTGAAGCTATGGCAAATATTGAGGGGTTGGCAACGATTTTATCTGCAATATTTTTATAATCGAAGGATCTCAAATCCAGTGAAACTAGAAATCAGGAATGAATAAGTTGGGAGATATATCTGAAATGTAGTCGGTTCGTCGGGATATGTGGATGAGTCTAGAGATGCCACAGAGGTTCCGGTTTTGACAACGCTTTTGTCCGTCGCAAACGTATAATGGAATAATGAGAACCCAGTTAAATCAGATATCATGAATGAAGGAGTTCAAAGGTAGGTTTGATAGGAATTTAATCTACTTTGGCTGGTACTTGTGAGAAATATTTAGCATTGCGTACACAGTGGTGATCAGACGAAGATGATTGATGTCCAGTAAAACTAATGAATCCAGCATTAGTGTCGAATACTTACAGAACTACTTTCGGGGTTTTTATTCGCCTCTTCATGTGCTCACTGATCTCACTTTCACTTCGGATATTCAGTAAAGCTGATTGATTTTTTTGTAGTTTCAGCATACAACAGTTTTTTATTATTGAAATCTTTGAAGATCTTGAAGTGCTGAAATGTATTATTACTCAAAGGTTCAAGTTTATTCAAGATGAAGTGACTTTATTTGTAGTAAAACAAGCAATCGGCACTTCATTCTTTAATTAAAATGCCATCAAACTGTCCTCAAAGTTGATAAATACTACGCAGGAATCATGTGTGTTAAGATAATTCATGAAATGACTTGAAAGTGATTTATGGAGACTATGAAGTAAAGCTGCTCGATTATTCCATCATAAGTTTATTCATGAAACGTGATGATCACTGGTAAACGCATCGCTCAAAACTTACTTCGATACCAACCGAATGCATCCAGCACAAGTTTGTTTCTTCCTAAATTGGAGAATGTATCAGATACTACTTAGTTATTATCGACTGACAGATTGATCCTGAATGTTAGAGGCACATGGTCACAACGATGACCAAATGGTAGGTCAGATATTTTCAAATCTGTTTTGCAATCAAGATTCAACAAATAAAGTGATTCATTGATGGTGCGGCATTTAAAACGATTAATTTAATGATTATATCAACAACACACTTGACACATTGAACAAATTTGACTAGGTCGTCTGATTCGTTCGGTGTGCAATCTGTCATAAGATGAATAGTTGACTGACTAAGATTGTGGTTGGTTTTTTAACGAATTAAAGTAGCTTCAGAGACAGCACCAAATGGCGATATAATGCCGCTATCATCAACACTGACAGATATATGTTTACTCGGGAATCAGAAATTAGATTTATATGATGCATCAATACAATGCTATCGTTAGAACTACGAAAATAAGATGAACATTTGCTTCATTTGTAAAGTCTCTTTTTGTAAGCGCAAATACCTCATTTTTCATATTCTCAATTAATTAACGAACAAAAAAATCTGGGAAATTCTACTTTCTCTACTCCAAGCGACTAGTGAAAGAATTTGAAAAATGTCTGCGAACTTTGATGCCATCAAATTAATTGATGTGTGGGCGAGAATGATAATGATTGATTGTCTGCTTAGTCAGACATGTCATAGTCTGATAGGTGTCAGATGAGTTGCATATTCCCCTATCCTTATAATTATTATTACTAATTGTTTATTGTTGTTGGATTGTGTCGGGTTTCTGGTATGGAAATATATTTGCATTGTGGTCAGACCAATCACGTGTTCTTAGTCTGAGTTGTGTTGAAGTTCTGTAGAATAGACACTTGGAGGGAATCTAGTGTAGATAATCATTTAAGGTAAATTAACGTCCCATACGTGTAGACGTTGGAAACCCAACCGTTATAAAATTAATCATCATTTATAAGATAGGGCATAAGATTCGTTTGTATTGGCATCACTTCAAAAACCAATGATTCATTGTTATGCACGTATGATTTCTCCATGTTAATTACAAGTTCTTCCTTCTTTGAATTGGGACTCAAGCACGAATATCTGAGTCAGATTATGAATGTAGCACATATACAAAAATCTGATACTTATGTTGATCATCTACCAACGAGTTCAGCTCAAATTATGTGCGCCTCTCCATGTTTCGCTTGGTTCTACGACAGAATGAGTGCGTAATACTAATACTGATGCAAACATCAACGTTAGTTTCAATGATCCAATATGTTATAGATCAAACTGACAGTCAATTCACCATAACTGATTAGAAAACAATGAAAGCTCCAAAGCATACAGGCAAACATGTACTAATCCTAGCTGTTATGGCGATCGCACGTCTTCATCTTGTGAAGATAAAGAGGTGAACTGAGAGATCTTTATTCAGAAAACGGCTCTGTACCAAGAATCTGTGATGCGACTACAAATAATGAACTAACCAGTGAAGTCAATGGGAGCCAATCTTGTATTCTGGAATGAAATTTATTCATCCAAAGAGTTAAATAACATTACGACATTATAGTTCATGTAGTTTTATGATGAAAGCCCATGAATTAATATTTAAAATCAAATTCCTACTCAAAATTCTAATTCTAATCCACAATTCAAAACATTCTTTTAACAGTAGATAACTGAAGGTCATAACAAGAAGTAAATCTAATCACTAGTGTCAAGATAAGAATAAAATGAAAGAATCGGGTACAGTTTCAAACGACAATTCTAAAGTATATTGAATGAAGTAACAGATAAAGATTTATAGGGTCTATTGATAAATATTTGTATGATTTAAAATGGAACTTATATCATAATGGCTCCACCAAGACGATGCACAAAGGTTGATCAAGTTTAGTTCATAAGATTAACAACAGAAAATAAAACGTTGTGACCACGATAAAAGGCATCAACATGATTTGACGTCGCAAAGACTAATTCCTGGTTTGTTATCAATCGAATCAATACCAGGTAATTGGATTACTGTGGATTTAAAAAGAATCATTGTCAAAATTGTATTCCGTGGTTTTGTTTTGCACTCAGAAATAAGTTGTATACCATGAACACAAAATCATCAGTTAAACCAGTTGATTATCAATAAGCAAACAGATTTCAATGGCAATTCAAAAACACGCTAAATGATGATAATCTTAATTATCTTTATGTGAAATTTTCCGTATATATGTTATGAGTGTCAGGTCACCATTAGGCTCATTGCATATCATTCACAAGTACAAGAGGAGGTTAGAGAAAAAGAATGGTCAATCCGAAGAAAATCTGTTACATCTCCAGTGGAATTACTCATTTTCCACCTAGTTTGTAGTAGTGTGGTGCGTGCTACTTATATTGATATAAGTAGTATATGACGCGAGTCAGGAATGTAATGTCTGGCGGCGGAAAATGGGGAAGACCAAGAAAGGAATAGCGGAAAGAGAAAGCAGTTAGTATGGAAATTCAAGAACAATGAAGTTCGAGACAATTATTGAATATTTTGCAAATTATGTATTATAGTATGGCTTTCCTTTGTTACCAAGTAACTGTAAGTTTGAGCTAAATACAATTAAATTATCCTCACCTGTGTTCTCTTTCACTACAGTAGCACATAATCACATCGTTGAAATCTACTATCATATGTATATACACATATATGCTACAGGCTCAAATGTATCTATTCAGTATTGTTCATTGGAGTGATGTGTAAAATTAAGCTTTTTACAAACTTCACCAAAAATGGAGCATCTCAATAAAATCTGAGAACCATATATCAAAGCCTGAGATTGCAAAATGTTCAACAATTCTCTAAAATGTCTCAGACTTCATTGTTCTTACATTTTCATAGAAATTGCATTCTATTCCCGCTCTTGCTTTCTTGATCTTCCCACATCTTCTGCTACCAGACATTACATTCCTGACTCGCGTCACATACTACTTATATCAATATAAGTGGCATGCACCACAGTTTCACTTCTGAAAGACCAGTTATGCTACCACATTCTAATTCACATGTGCTTCAATTGACAAAGTATAACGAGTGGTGAGTTTGCTAGAAGTTGACCACCTTACAAATAGTAATAGATCATTGTCATCTATAACGTTCAGAACATAACTATGTATATTAGAATATCATATTTTATAAATTACTCTGATCTACAAACTACCTAAACTGTCCACTTTCCACAGAAACAGAACTGAAAAGCTAGCTAGAGTGTTTTCTGTCAACAATAAACATACAAACACAATGTCTCTTGCAAATTATGTCACTGATTGAAAATGTTTAAATATATCCATTAACATGTAGGAAACATTGAAAGGATCCTTCGTCCTACTATATAAAACCCATACTGTTCACAATCACAACTGTAATGTGAACGAACACAGTGCCATGTCGTTTCGAGATGGTCACCATAAGTCTAGATTATCGAGTAAATATGAAAATGTCTACATTTCCAATATCACGACATTTCGAATCGTCCACGATTATTGTTCACTGTCATCTTTGATATTTCAAGTAGAAACACCAGTTAAAATTCTTCATCAAGACGTCACCACACAATCAATCTCAAAGTAAATTATCAATCAACGAACACATACTATTCAGATAAGAAGTATGTCAATATAATGTCATTGTTCAAATTAGTCTATTTCCTAAAATTATTGGATAATTCTATTCTGACATGAGTGTCATTTCAACCAATATCAGTTTGTAATACAATCCTAACATCAGTGTCGGTTCACACTAAAATGCTGTGTCATTTCCC